GTACGAAATCTGCTGCGTGCAGCTGGTGTCGCTCCCCCCGCAGCCAGGCGAGTTCCTCGATACACTGGCGCATCTGGCGACGGGAGGCAGGCGCCAGGGAAGTCAGCGCTGGTTCGCTGCCCAACCCTGTACCCCCCACCTGTGGTCCGCCCTGAGGAGAGGAGGCAGCGACATGCGTGCGAGGATGGCGGAAGCTTTGTAGCGCAGGATGTGTCCTGGCCCCCCTCATCCTGCTCCGGTTTCCCCTCAGCCTTGCACAGCGCCGGTATGACACCACGGCAGCACCACCATATGTGTATGTCCGCATGCACACATGCACGCACGCATGTGTACATGTAATGTACACATCGACATACGTCATATAAATAAATAGCCCCACCCCGCAACCATCGGGGGAAGCCCGCTGATACCACCCCCGTTTCGCTCCCCAGAGGCGGCCCGGAGAGGCCAAGAGGGTGCCAAAGCGAGCCAAGAGGGGCCAAGAGGCCCCCAAGACGGTGCAAGAGCCCGTTTCTTTTTTGCTTGGGGCATGACGTGCGTCGTGGCCCCCGCTCCCCCCGCTCCCCCTTCCCCTTATAAAGTAACGTAACGCTCACCCCCCCAGTGCGCTCCGGGCACTGCCGCCGTGCGCGTTGGGATCCGCGTAGGTGTTCGCGTAGGAATCCGCATTGGAGTTTGGTCCGCAGTCGTCGTCGTCGTCGTCGCTCGTGGCTCGTCGCTCGTCGCTCGTCGCTCATCGTCGTCGCGCGCGTGGACGCGGCTGGAGCCTGTTTTTTTGTTCTGGGCCGATTACGGCAATCATCTGGGGGGGGAGGGGGTCGATGACGTCACGTTTCGCGCCGGCGGCGTCTGGGAATGCCTGGGAATGACGGAGGACGGGTAGCACCCGCATGTAGGTGGTGATCTGCACCACGACGCTTGTGTACACCACAGCGTCTGCGTGCAACACAGCGCCTGTGTACACTACACCGCCCATGTACACTACAGCAGCCGCGTGCAACACAACGTCAGTTCGTGCTACCGTGCCTGCGGGCACAACAGCTGTTGTGTACACCGCAGCTCCTGCGTACACCACATCAGCCGTGTGCAACTCAGCACCAGTGTACACCACAATGCCTGCGTGCATTGCAGTGTCTGTGTGCACCACGGCGCCTGCGTGCATCACAGCAGCCGTGTGCAACACATCACCACTGTTGTATATAGAATGTTAGAAGGAACCTTTTTTATGCCTTATGAGAAAATGGAGCAGTTGTGGATTCCACAGAAAACAACAGAAAGGAATCCTTATGGACCAAAGAGCGCCGCTGGAATCAACGAGTCCTCCCGAGTCCGCCCGCATCACCCCAACTCATCCCGTCTGCGTCCAGGAGGCTCCAGCTAAATTGGCCGTGCGGTGCACGCGAGCGTTATGGTGCACACGGGCGCAGTGGGGCAGATCGCCACCTACATGTTGCTCGCGTCGTCGTCGTCGTTGTCGTCGCTCGTCGCTCGTCGCTCGTCGCTCGTCGCGTTGTGCGCGCAGGCGCGGCTGTGGTGCCGGAGCCACACGGCGGAGAGGGGGCATTACGTCATACTCCCCTCCGCCCCCCCCTCCCCACATGACGCCCGTCATCGCCGAACATACAGAAACGTGGTCCAAGAAAGTCTCCCGAGCTGCCCGACACGGCCCAGGAGGACTCCCAGAGCACTCCCAGGAGGCACACATTAGTAAATTCCGATGGGGAACGTTCATGTTTAGCATGTACGACTTTTCAGCTTTCGCGGCTTTCAAGACGGCTCAGAGGCTCCCTCGACGTCCCCAAAACAGCCTAGGACGTTCCCAAGAGGCCCCCGAGCCAGCCCAAGAGGGCGCCAAGACGGCTCAAGGGCCGCCTAGGACGACCAAGTTGGCTCCAAGACGGCGCCCAAGACGGCCCCGAGTCGCCCAAGACGGCCAAGATGGCCCCAAGACGGTCCAAGAAGGCTCCGAGGCGTCCCAAGAGGCTTCCAAGAGCACTCCCAGGAGAGCCCCAAGAAGCCAAAATCGTTGAATTCCGGCGGGCAAACGTACATGTTTATCATATGCGATGTTTCGTCCTCCACGGCTTGGAAGCCGGCCAAGAGGCTTCCAAAACTTGCCCAAGAGAGCCTAACACACTCCGAAGAGGCTCTCAAGACAGCCCAAGAGGGGTCCAAGACGGCCCAAGGGCTGCCCAAGACGGCCCAAGTTAGCCCCAAAACGGGCCCCAAGAAGGCCCAAGACGGCCCCGAGTCGCCCAAGACTGCCGAAGATGGCCCCAAGAAGGTCCAAGAAGGCTCCGAGCCGTCCCAAGAGGCCTCCAAGAGCACTCCCAAGAGGATAAGAGGCCAAAGTCGTTATATTCCTGTAGGCGAAATGTACATTTAAGCATATGCGATTTGGGGGCCTTCACGGCTTTGGTGACTGTCCAAGAGGCCCCAAGGACTTTCCCCAAGCGAGCCGAAGACGCTCCCAAGGTCCCCAATATAGCTCAAGAGTGCGCCAAGGCGTCCCTAGGGCCGACTAAGACGGCTCCAGGAGGGGTCCAAGAGGGGAACTCCGACTCGAAAGTTGCAGCCTTCCGCCCAGAGAACCTCCCAGGAGGACACGGATGAGAACACAGACGGCAGGACACGACACGTGCATGATACAGATGATCATGAGGAAAGTGAGAAGGGCGAGGGGGACGGAGAAGGAAACACACCACTCCTTGCCCGTGCCTCCCACCTGGACTATCCTCCTCCACAGTGTTGAACTTTATTCCCCCTCTCCTCCAATCTCCATATGTCCCCCTCTTCGTCTTCCTCCTTCCTGCTGTCGCAACCCTTGCGCGCCTATGCCACCGATAACTTCTGACGGCTCATCTTCGGCCGTCGCCTCCCTCTTCAATCCCCACTGACCCTCTATCATCGTTCTCATCAATATTCCAAGTATTTCTTGAGCTTTCCTCCTCTAGACCTCTCAAACCTCCTGCTGGCCGTTCAACGAAAATCTGACTTCAGGTCGCCCCTGGGACGTCGTCGTCGTTGTCGTCACCTTTCGCCGGCCTTTCGCAGATTTTTCTCGCAGAATTCCGATCTCTGGGGGCGTCGTCCGGAATTGGAGGACGTGGAGGAGAGAGGTGTCGGAAGAGAAGAGGGAACGGGAGGAGGAGGGGCAACAGGAGGAGGAGGAGCTTCAACGTAACTCTGGAGACCACAGCACCGCGGCTCCAAAAACAGACCGTTGCTTCGACATCTTATGCCGACGCCGCCCACGAGGCTTCCAGGACGCACATTCATGTACGTTTACATATACGTTTGCACATACGAATGCATGTGCATCTGCATATGCATATACATAGACGTATACATATACATATACTTGTAACCACGTATATACACATACCTGCGCGTATACATATACATATGCACATACATCTAACTATGCGTACATATACACTTATCCAAACCCATACACGCATAAACACATATGTGCGCATACCCGTAATCATGTGCCTAGGCATATGCATATACATACACATACGCATGCAGTTATGCATACATATGCACAACTACATATACGTATGCATATACACAGATACACATATACACTACACACAACTATGCCGTATATATATTATATTATACACCAGACACCGATATACGCACATACGTATACAACCACATATGCATACACCTATAAACACACACATGCACATCTACAACTGCACATACATGTACATATACATATACATATGTACATAATATGTATACATGCAGCTGTATATACTTGTACGTGTGTATATACACACATACGTATACCTACACATATATTCATATATATATATACATACACACATCTACATGGACACATACATCGACCTATATATACACCGAGATTCGACGACCACGACTTGTTGGCCCATTCTTAGGTCGCTGTGGGATGGCCTCAGAAGGTCTTGGTAGTCACTTGGGCCGTTGGCGTAGCTCTTGGATGCCCCAGAGGGATTGGTCACAACATAGAGGTCTTCAACGTTCGACCGTGAAGCCTAGCTAGAACCTAAGCGCGCGCGAAGCGCGCGCGTGGCTATAGTATCTATACCTGTATATACACAGGCCATCCACGGCGGCCCAAGATGGCCCTCCACTTGCCCCCTTTGCTCTCCGTTGCTGTTCTGGCTGAAGACAGCGACAATTCCCGTTGTTTGAGACATTGCGTCCACAGTTTCATATCTATCGGGCTCAGGCTCAGCTACATGCGGTGGTATTTCCATGGTAGCGTTTTTCTGACGATGTCCTTTCTGGTCAAGGGCATGCGCGACGACGGTATCATGGGCCCTTCATTCAGCATGGACGTTTCCTCGTTCATCACTGCGTGCCCAGATGATGATACAATCTCTGATGCTCCCATGCGCTTTTCTGGCACGCTGCGAAATCGCTCCGCTGAGACGACGTTTGTTGGCGCGAAGGTCAGACGCACTGCTGAGATGGAAACCTCCCTGTCCAAGGGTATCAAGCCTGTGGACGTTCAGCAGGGCTGCCTTTCCGATTGCTGGCTAGTATCTGCCATTGCCAGTATGGCTCGTTTCCCCAATGCAGTGAGAAGCATTTTCGAGCAAGAATGTGAGTCGAAGGGCCATCGGTATCATGTCACGCTTTATAGCAAGGTTCAGCGGGCATGGGTGAATGTATCGATCGAAGACAGAATTCCTGTGGATGGCGACAGCACCAAATTTACACAGGTTTCGGACATTGGCAAGGGCTGGCCTAAACTGTTGGAGAAAGCAGTCGCACAACTGCACGGCGGCTACGAGAAGCTTGAAAACAAATGGAGTGAACTAGCATTCAATACATTGACCGGTGATCAGGGGTCCATCTCATATGTGCTCGTGGGACGAGGTGGGTGGTCCAGAGCCATAGTAGATCCTGCAAGGCAGGAGTATGTCTTTGATAAAGTCCCGTCGAAGACCAACGATGATATCTGGGATGAGTTGAAGGCAGCTCATCGTGGGCATCGTCTCATGGCAGCTGGTATGTTGAGCGGGGCTGACCGTGAATGCCCTTCGGCTTGCCACCAATGTCACCTAAACCAAGTAGAGGGAGGTGTTCATCAATTCGTTTGTGACCAGCAACCAGAAGACCTTTCCACATATCCAGCTGCCTGCGGCAAGTCCTGTAACCGTGCCAGCCCAGCATTTTGGATGGCGATTGTTCGAGGGGCCCAGGGGGCCGCCACGAGTGACGCCTCGTGTCCCGAGGCTTGGGAGAATCGCGATGGGGACGAAGGTGATGAGGAAGAGGAGGTGGAGGAGGAGGAGGAGGAGAAGGAGAAGGGGCTGGAGGAGGAGGAGGAAGGCCGTGAGATGTGACACCTCTCGTCTTGGCTTCTGCAGGAGACATCCGGGAGCGCATTTGGGCCCTCTTGGGCGTCGTGGGCCCCCTCGGGACGTCTGGGGGTCCTCTTGGGCCGCCTTGGGGCCGTCTTGGGTCGTCTTGGGGCTCTCTTGGCCCGTCTTCGGCGGGTCGATTGTGCCGCCCGCCCGACACATCCCGGGCATGCTGCGGCGTCGATTCGCCGCGCGGCGGCCGAGCGCACGGCGCCCAGCCGCGCGCGAGCCGCCGCCTGAGGAGTCATGAGGTTTGGGCACCGGCGTCCCCCCCCACATACTGATACGAGGTGTGCGTCGCCCCCAGTTGGGCGACGAGCGCGCCGCATTCAGTAGCAAATCGTGGGAGCCTACTGTACCCGTTTGATTCCGTCTTCAGCGTCGAGGCGCCGTCTTGGGCTTTCGAAGAGCTTTCTAAACGCCGGCTTGCGCCTCTCTGCCGGGGCCGTTTTGGAGGCCGCATGGGCCATCGCGGGGTCTTCTCGGGCCGTCTCGGGGCAACGTTGGAGGCTTCGTGGGCAGTCTTGAGTTGACGGGCGCCTGGAAAGGCGAGAACGCGAAAATTCGTCAAAGACGCAATGGTAACTCACTGATTCGATGTTTCGGGACCCTGTAAGGGGTCCCCTCGCGGCGTAGAACCTCCTGAAGACATTTGGGCCGTCTTGGGGCCGCCTTGGGACCATATTGGGCCGTCTTCGAGGCATCTTGGGCCATCTTGGCGGCCGTGGTTGCTTGCCTGGGCCTTCTTAGAAGCTGGGGGGCGCAGATTCAGTGTTTGTTACAATGGGTTCGGCTTCGGGATCTCGGAACCATCGGCTTGTACGAAGATCTTGGCCTCGGAGGGTGGGGGGGAGCGATGTATGCAACTGTCTTCTCGTACAGGAGGGGCCCATAAGAGTACAGAAGCCCTACCAGCCAATCCTTGGAATTATACCACGCCTCAGGGGCGTGGAGGCGGCTTCCTGCGAGCGTCTACAGACCTCTGACCTCCCGTTGGTTGGCTGGTGGTGCCAAGAGAAAGACGTGGCAACTCCTAAGATGTGCACAAGGTTCGATCAATGCGAAAATTCGAAAGGTGTGTTGGCAGATTGTCTGGAATGCTCAAAGGCCGACGGCAATGATTGGATACCAACGGCATATGAATGCAAGCATGCCGCTACCTCTAGCTCGCGCTTACCATCAGCGGGTGATGTCATGCTACCTTTCCGAAGTCTGCAGCTCCCCAGCATGAATAATAGCACGACGTTCGTCGTCGAGGCATGGGATCCTGTGGTGGTTGTTGACGTTGACAGCGACGGCGATATCAGAGCCCGTAGCGCGGATGGCGTGGAGAGCAAGTGGATCCACCGTGCACACTTCGCTTACAAAATAGATAAGCAGAGCAACGCCTCGCGGATATGCGTAGCACTTACTGGCTCAAACGGCGAGGCGCAGCGCTCAGACGGCTTGTTAGCTGGCCATGAGTATTCCATTTTGCGTGTTCATGAGTTCGAGCCAGGTAAAGCAACACAAGTGTGCAAGATTAAGGATCGTGTTGTCTTCCAGCATTTCTGTGACTCGCCTGACAGTCAGAATGCTACGTGGCACGATGTTGACATCAAGTCCATCAGTTCTTCATTGCGCTTGGTGCGCGTGCGCAATGCTTGTGGCGGCGGGGATATGTGGAACGGAGCTTGGTCTGATAAGGACCGCATGTGGCAGGAGCACACAGATATTGCACAAGCAGTTGGCATGGAGCCAGCCGAGGACGGAGCGTGGTGGATGACCTTTGAAGATTTCAGCCGCGCCTTCACTGACGTTACTCTGGGAAGCGTGGACATGCTGACATTTATTCCTGGGCCGATGCCGGAACGCTTTCTGTCGATGCAGTCATGGGCTACATCGACTTCGTTATCATTTGTCAGTTTCCTGCTTCTCCGCTACTTTGTGATGTGACGTGACCGTTAAGGCAGTCAACCGTGTTGTATTGCGTATGCATATCGTTGTGCACCACCGTGAAAAATACCCCGCCCATCCCAATCGGACTTGCAACACGGCCCTTGGGATGACCAAGAACGTAGCAGGATGGCATCGCAGTCGCTCCGTAGCCCAAAGCGAACAGACGAGAAGGCAAATGTCGTTGGAACGCCTCACGTGCTTGGAGGTTTGGGCTCTCCTTCCTTTGGGCCTCCGAGGCCGCTTGGAGCCGCGTGGGGGCCGTGCGTTGGGATCTTTGGAGGCGTGCTGTAGACTACCGTGAGCAGTCTTGGGGAGTCTGGGGCCATACTCAAAGCTTTCTCGGAGTATCCGGGGCCATCTTGGCGACATTGTGGCCCAACAAGGCATCATGAGGATGCCCCCGGGAGGCCAACAGCCCAAGGTTGTCTCGATTAATATTGCTCATCAACAAGGTGGCGGCGTGAATCAGCGTCGCCCACCTTGAGCGCGCGGCATCTCCTCTTGGGGTTTCTTGGGCCTCTACCTGGGCGCTTTTGGGGGGAGGCCGTCATATGGGGCCTTCATGGCCCCCCCGTCGGGCCCTTGTTGCGCGGTCTTGGAGCCATGTTGAGACCTCAGACGCCCACTGCAAGCGAGAAGGCAGCGCAGGCTGAAAAACAGATTGACCAACCTGATGTGCTTGAAGCATGATGGCTTATCGGGGGTATCCTTGGGATGCTTCTTCTTTGAATCGTCCTGGGGCGGTCTCGCGGGCTCTTGAAAGCGTACCGGAGGACCTTGAGCTCTTGACCGCCCAGATTGTGCCACATTGGAGACCATCTTGGACTGTCTCAGGTCATCTTGGAGCCATCTTGGACGATCTCATGGGTCGCGCCGCCTCCCCCCCGTCCAGACCCAGGGATGGGGACACTGCAGGGGGAGGGGCCGTCACGTGCACTCGGTCTACAGTCGGGGTGCTAAAGAAGGAGCCCTTTTCGTTGCGGAGGGGCTCGGTGCTCCTTGATTGCTTTTCAGTTTGCCTTGGAGGTTCCTTGGGTTTTTGATTTGAGATCGCAGTGGATAAGAGGGCCTCGTTCCTTATTTGGAGTTCCTTAGGTCAACGCCTCGACTGCACTGCAGGGGGGGGCGGCGCCACGTGCAGCCGGTCCAGTTCTTGGCAGGAACCTTTGGGGGGGTCCTCCGCCTCCTGCTCCTCCTCCTCCTCCTCCTCCTCCTCCTCCTCCTCCTCCTCCTCCTCCTCCTCCTCCTCCTCCTCCTCCCCCCCCCCGCCTTTCACTTACGGATAAGGGGGGCATCGTTCCTGCTTTGGGGTTCCCTTGGTCAACGCCTCGGCGTCACTGCAGGGGGAGGCGGCGCCACGTGCACCCAGGCCAGCTTTTTGACAGGAGCCCCTAGGAGGAGGAGGAGGAGGAGGAGGAGGAGGAGGAGGAGGAGAAAGAGGAGGAGGATGAGAAAGAGGAAGAGCCGCTCGAACCCACCTGCGTCCAGGGTGTTTACCAATACGGAGCAGTGGCGAGCCCTCCCCGCATGCGAAGATCAGGCGATCGCAAGCATGAATCCAGGGAGCGTGGGTCAGCGACGGGTCCCGTTCCCATGGGAAATCGCGGATTTCCGCCGCCAGATGAGGCGGCACCGGCCGCCTTTTGGGGAGGGCACCTCCCCCGATCCATGTTCATGTTTGCGCGCCGACGTTTCCACGGCAGGCGCGCGAACGTCTGCCACACACGGACGAAGTTTGGTCCGCTGGGGGGTGGTCCGTCCCAAACCCCGTCTTGACGTTCCTGTAGGCCTACCAGACAATGTTCTAAGAGTTTTCTGCGTTTTCCACGAAATGGTCTTGTATCATTTGTGGTTGGGTCTATCTTGTTGTCACACATCGGGTTTATATGTTCTGATGACACTGCTTTGTTATTAGAACATTTCTTGATTTTAAAAGCATGTCGTGGTAGGCCTATAGGAATGCTGGGACGGTCGGTCCCTGCTCAATCAAAGCGGCCGCGATGCTTCCAAGAGGGGCCCCCCTGGAGCGTCAGGCAGCCCAACAGGGCCCGTGCGTTTTTATTGTAATAAAGCGAGGGTCACATTCCGCAGATGGGTTAGGACACCTCGAACGCTGCTGAGTTGTTTGTCCGCAAGGGCCGCCTCACAGAGGGACTTGGCTTACGTCTGAGGGCCCCTAGGATGCTCCCGAGACGGCGCAAGGGGGCCCCAAGTGGCTTGCAAAACGGCGTAGGATAGCCCCAGGGAAGCGCCAGGTCAAGACGGCCCCACGGATCCCCCAAGCCGTCCCAAGGAGACGGTCCCGCTAGCCTGGGAGGGCGTTCCGAGAGGCTTCAAAGGCAATCCAGGAATCCGCCAGGTGGCTCGACGACGGCTCAGGAGAGGGCCCTAGGCGAGCGCCCCGAGATGCCGAGAAGGAGGGCCCCAAGAGATCATTCATCGCATGTTGGTGTTATTAGTCCTTCTCTTCTCGTCCTCCCTCCTCCATCCTCCTCCCGTCCCCTTATCCTCCGTCTCTCCTCATGCTCTTCCTCTGCCGTTCCCTTTCCGTGTCTCCAGTTGTCTCCGTGCGTCAGCAATTATCAGATCATCTGTTGTTTTGCAGATTGCATTGGCAGCACGTGCATGTTTTCATCGGGGGGGCAAATGTGCCACGAATGCCGGAACGGGCACCAAGCCCCCCGAGCCACAGACGCCCACAGGGCCCCACAAGGCTTCCAGGATTGGCCCAACACAGATCCCTGACCGTTCCTCCTCGTCGTTCCCATCGCTATCCCTCATCCCGATTCCTCGTCGTCCCTCCTCGCTCACTCCTCATCGTCCCTCCTCGCTCTCCCTCATCCCGTTCCCTCGTCGTCCCTCCTCGTTCCCGCCTCGTTCTCCCTCGTCGCCTCCTCCTTTTCCTCGGCGCACGGAAAACTGCGAGGGCTAGAGGGAGGGCGGGGTGGCAGAAGCACGAGGAGCAGGAGCAATCGGCGAAGCAGGACGACCAGAGGAAGCAGGAGCAAGCTGGGGAGTGTGAGGAACACGAGGGGGAGACTCTGCCCCTCCGTCGGCCCCATCCTCCCCCCACCCCCCCTCCTTCCCCCTGCCTCCTCGTGCTCCCTCCTGCTCCCTCCCCGCCGCTTCCCCGCCGCTTCCTCGCCGCCTCCTCCCTCCGACCTCCTTCCCCTCGCCCCGCTCCTGCTCCCCCGCCGCGCCCCCGCCCGCGCGCGGCCAGCCCCGCGGCGCACGAGGCGCGCGCGCAGCTCGTGAGCCTGCCGGCACGTCGCGGTGACCGCTCGCCGTGCGGCGGGTCGGCAGGGCCCGCTCCGGCTCCTCCGATTCGATCCGTTTCCATTTGGGGGGCTTCCGGTTCCGAGTCGCTTCGACTTCGGGTTCCGGTGTGGATTCCGTCTCCTCCTCGGAGGCCTGCTGGCTTGCCGAGCTCCGCCGATCCGGCTTCTCCCGTCTCGGCTGCCGCTCTCCGCCGATCCGCCTCGTCTCGATCCCCCTCACGATTTCTGAGGGGGAGGGTGGGGTTCACTTCGTTCGGGAGCTCCCGAGCAGAGTGAACCCCACCCTCCCCCTCAGAAATCGTGGGGGGTAGGGGTAGGGTTCGCATGTGGCCCCCTATCGATTGCGATGGCTTCCGGTTCCGATTCGCTTCGATTTCGGGTTCCGATGTTGCTTCCGACTCCTTCTTGGAGGCATGCTGGCCTGCCGATCTACGCCGGTCCGACTCATCGATTCTGGGCTTTCCTGACCGTGCGGCGGGTCGGTGGGGGGTCGGCGTTCCGAGGCGGGGATTCGTCCGTAACCACAGCATTGGGGTCCGATCTTCGCGGACCTCCACAGGCGGTGGATATGCATATATTCGGGCCCCCTGGGGCCATCATATATCATGTCCACCGCCCGCTCGGGCACCAGGGCGTCGGTTCCTGGGCGGTGGACATGGATAAACCCCCGCCGCGCAGAGGTGGCCAGTTTCTCATGGGAGGAAAGGGTACCGATACCGCTACCCCTGCCTCGCTTTCGCCCTTTCGGGCCTCCTGAGAGGCCCTCGTCGCCACCGCTGGATTCGCCTCGAAATTTTGGTCAGAACGCACCGCGTGAGAGGTCCGGGGATTGCAACAAAAACTAAGGATTGCAAAAAAAACAGGATTGCAAACCAACCCAGGATTGCAAAAAAAAACAGGATTACAAAAAAACCGAAGGATTGCAAAAAAACACGGTTTTTTTTGCAATCCTTCGTAGCGGTATCGGTACCTCTTGGCTCCCCCAGACCAGTTTCCGTCTCCAGCACAGCACCCAGTACTCCACGGCGCTCCGTCCAAGCGCAACTTGAAAGCATGTCTCGACGCCACGCCTTCCGTCGCAGACACAACCTCTGGTTTTTCCACAAACCTCCGCCTTCACCACCACGCCCGGTGCTCCACAGTACCCTCCCCAGGTGTAGCTTGAACGTTTTCTGCTACGCCACGCCCTCCGTCTCCGGCGCAACACCCAGTACGTTTCCAACACAACACCCAGTAATTCACAGCAACCACCCCGGGTCCAACTTTTCATGTATTTCTTTTCCGCAACCTTCGTTCCCAGCACAACGCCATCACTCCATAGCCTCCGCCTCGAACGTATCACACTGTACTCCACAGCTACGTCGCCAGATGTATCTTGAACGTGTTTGTCTACTCTACACCTTCCATCTACAACGTAACGCCCAGTGCTCCACAACCTCCGTCCTCAACACAACATCCAGTATTCCACAGCACCCCCCCAAGTGTGACTTGAAAGTGGAATTACACTCCATACCCTCCGTCTCAACACAACACCCAATATTCCCCAGCCTCCGATTTCAACAATCTCCACGACATCCGCGCCCTCAGTGTATCCCTTTGCAAATTGCCACGACGAAAGGGGAAACCCGGTGGGCGCCGGAATCTGAGACCTGTAGTGTGCAAATGTTTCACGGGCGCTAATTCTTCCGCCGGCGCTGTGGCATGACCGTCGCAAGCTACGATATGAACGGGCTACGCACAGACACACACACACACACACACACACACACACACACACACACACACACACACACGAATTGCGGCATTGCGTCCAGGACGGCGCTCAGAGACGACGGCAGGACCCAAGAGTGGAAGCGCCGAAGCGTACCGTGCCGTTTTCAAGACGTGCTCCGCGTGCGGATCATGCCTTAAACATGCAGGGATTTTGTATTAAGAGCAACGATGAGTTCATGCATACATGTATTCATACACTAATCATGCATAACAAATCCTGTAGTTTTAAAATCCCATGTGTTAAAGACTGCCCTGTAATCTCACGCGCGCGCACGCGCCGCCCCACCGCGGGCGCCCAGGATGACATCACGCAGGTCATCCCGAAGGGGTGGATCGAGGCCGCTCCCCCGGGCGGGGGCCTGCCCTGTTCGGGCGTCCTGGAGGGGGCCGAGGGAGCACGGTGTGGAGGAAGAGAAGCTTCTTCCTTTTCCCTCGCCAGCACGATGATGACTGCCAGCGTGGTGTCCCTTGAGAAGTTGACGCGCTAGATCCAGACGTAGAAGAAGCCTGGCCGCAGCACGTGCTCGCCGTTCACGGCGGTGGCGAGCTGGCGAGCGCCTCTGCCGCTTGGGCGTCTCCCCTTGCAGCAGGCGGCGTCCCCGCGACGCGGGCCTCCTGGCCGCGCTGAGCCGCACCCCCCCTGCGGGGGCCCGATGGCGCGGCGGCGCGCGCGCCGCGGATGGGCCCCCCCGCGTACGAGAGGCACGGTGTGGAGGAAGAGAAGCTTCTTCCTCCTCCCTCCTCTGTGGTGTTTGTTTACGATTAGATCGGGCTTGTCCCCCATACAGGGGGATTTCCGGCGAAGATTAAACAATACACCAAAACAAATACTAATAATAATAATAGTAACAATAATAATAACCAAAATAGTCAGGGGAGTATGTTTTGAGTATTTGTTGACCTCTTGGGGGTATGTTTGGAGGTATGTTTAATTTTTCGTCGACAATCCCCCTGTAGGGGGGCAGGCCCGACTTAAGCCGAGGGAACACGGTGTGGAGGAAGAGAAGCTTCTTCCTCCTCCCTCCTCGGTGGTGTTTGTTTGCGAGGGCAGCGAGGAGTTGCCCATCCATCTCTGGGCCGCTGTTCTGGCCCTTCTCGCCACATCACGGACTTGGCTTCGCAGATGGGTCGCCGCTGTGCCGTTGTCGGCTGGTCGGGCGGAACGCTTTTCTGCGCTTGCTTCAAGTGTCACCTCTTCCGCGCACGTGGCCGCGTTGTGAATCGGGGGGCGCCGCGTTCATGGCTGGAGGACCTTGGCGCTGGCCGCACGGCGTGGCAGCAGTGGCCTCGACGCGAGCATCCCCGTCCCCAGCAGCAGAATAAGAAGGCGGCAGAGGGCAAACATCTGTTGCTTCTCCGCTGCCTGGTCAAGCTCGGCAGGCCAAGGGAGCGCCGCGGTGAGCGGAGTCCTCATCGGCCTCCCCCTCCGGAGAGGAAACGGTACCAATATCGTTGCTCGTCCTGGGGCGCCCCCGTCGCCACGGCTGGATTCCTCGCGGGGTCTTGGCCAGGACGCCTTCCAGGGTGGGTCCGGGTGACCCGCGGGGCCGGTACATTTTTGTTTCCCCACCCTTCTCCTGCCCCTCTTCCCTCCCTGCTCCCCTCATGGCGCGCCAACATCGTAGAGTGGAGTTCGTTCGGGAAGCAATCGGATGGGCCCGGAGTGTCCTTCCGAATTTCGTTCCCGATTTCGCAGTGAATTTCGTGTGATTTTTTGTTTGGCCAGGAATGGAGACAAACAAAAATCCACGCGAAATCCGCTTCGTTTTTCGCTCGCCGTTTCGGGGGTTTTGCAGTGACAGAAATCCGAGCAAAACTCGGCTGCAGCAGTCTGCAAGGTCGGTGCAGTGACTCCTCCCCTACCCCTGTTTGTTTCCCCGCCCCCTGGCGACTGGACGCCGACCATCAACAGCACGGTCTACGACGACGCGTGGGGCAGCACAAGCGAGGGGAACACGGCATCAATGCCTCTCTTCGACAGCATTGGCCAGACTTACACACCCCGCGCGCGCACTCATCCCTGGAGCGTGTCTCCGAAGGGCTTAGGCGACCCGTCCTCCTCCTCCTCCTCCTCCTCCTCCTCCTCCTCCTCCTCCTCCTCCTCCTCCTACTGTTCGTCCTCTTCCATCTCCTCCCCCTCCTCCACCTCCACCTCCACCTCCTCCTCGGGTCGCCTACGGCCCCTGGGGAAACCGTGGCTCATCCCTCCTTCCCCCCGCTCCTCCCGGCGCACGCACGCCTGCGAGCGCGGGATCGGGAGGGAGGCGGGAGGGGGGGGCTGGCTGCAGAGAGGGGGTGGGGGCTTCGGAAACGCGGCCCTCCTCGCGCGGCCCCCGGCCGCTCGCAATTCGCGACGGATGCGCGGCGGCGGCGGCGCGAAGGTCGTGCTCGTCCCTCCGAGTCTGGCTCGCGAGCCGCGAGACGCCAGGGCGCTCGACGGCATCGGAGGAGGGCGGGTTCGGCGGCGAGCCACGGCGGGCAGTGAGAAGGGGCAGGCCTTCACGGAAGGCGGCGGGGCTTCTCAGATGCCCGCGCGTTTTAGGGCGCGAGGGCTTTTGCGAAGCAACACGCCTTCTGAGAAGGCCTGCCCCCTCTCACTTGCCCCCCGGGATCGGAGCCAAGCAGTGGGGACGCGCACCAGGGGATTGGGCGCTGCTCGCTGGGGTTCCTACAGGGTTCCTTCGCCTCGCGCGCTGCGTGGGCTGGCTGTCCGCAGGCGTTGAGAAGCTGTTGCGTTCCGGGTCTGTTGGGTTTTTCCTTCACATGAGCCACGTGAAACAACTCTGTCGTCTTCGCCGATTTTGTCGCGCAAGTTGCCCGCGTAAGGTCGCGTAAGCGCACTCGTTCCAATGTAGCGTGCCGCGGTGGCGGCCCGCGTAAGCTACGGCAGAAGGTCGCTATGCCATCTCGCGTAAGACCTTTTCTTTTCGTCGCTCAATTGGCACCTCACGGTCGGAGTTTCAAAATTGTTTTTTTTGATTGGGTTTCTTCTGGCCGCGTCTGCACTTGCATCATATTCACACGGGGCGTACCGAAGATTCTCTCGACATGGCGATCTCTTGTCGCACTTCCAGTGGGGCATCGGCGTTCCACTGCCAGGTTTCGATTTGCAGAAACGCAGGTTTGGCGTGTGTTCGCGTCTGCCTTCTGAAGCACGCTCATCCTGCTCCGTCTCATTATGATCAGCCTCCGCCTGCTCATGCTCCCCCTGCTGCTCCTGTTCTGTTCCTGCTCCCCGCGTTCACGCTGCATGCTGTTACTCAGGAGGAGAAAAAATACACAGACACAATCAACCCTCGATTCCCCAGAAAACATGGGAAAACATGGGAAGTGGGGGGGAAGACAAAACCCGAGAAAATGTGGGAAAATATGGGAAGTGGGGGGAAGACAGAACCCCTGAAAATATGGGAAAATATTGGGAATCCTGTTATTTGTGTGTCTTTATTTATGTGTCCCAGGGCTCCTTCAGTTACTGCTCCTCCTGCGGACCTTGGCTGTGGTCAGCTTCCGCCGTGTCCGCCGGCAAGAGGGGGCGGGCCTGCTCGCATGGCTTTAATCGGCATCGACCGTTCCCGCTGCCCGCACAAGAGGGGCGGAGGAGGATGGGGAGGAGGAGGAGGAGGAGGAGGAGGAGGAGGAGGATTCTGCAGGGTTCTACAGGCCAAGCCGAAAGATGTTGGCGGCACGGGAGCGGTGGCGGAAAGAACCTGTCTTGAGACTTCGAGCTGTTGGCGCGCAGTCCCGATCTCCTCTCCCCATGCCGTTTTCCTCGCGTGGCGACGAGGGCCCAGCCGTGGTGACGAGGAGCGACGAGGGGGGGGTGGGTTTCCCCGGGTGGTTGGCCCAGTTGTCGAGCCACGTCCTTCGGCAGCATAGTCCCCTGCGGCGGCCTGCTGCGCGCACGGGCCCGCGTCGCCGCGTGCTTCTTTCCGCGGGGCGCTGGCCATCGTGCACGTCGCTGATGGCGTTTGCACCGTGCGGTTCCTGCGGCACGCAGTGCCGATCCCGCTGCAACTGCTTGCCCTTTTCGCACCGCCAGATCCGGGTGCCACCCTCTGCCCGTGCGCACGAGCTGTTCCCAGCATTGGGACAGATGCGTTCGCTCCTGAACTTGCCGCCCTCTCGCGTCGACAGGGTCTGCCGCGCAAGCCCTGCGCTCATTGCCATGTCGCGGACGGGCGGGCCCCTGCGTTGTAGCTGGTGGTTGCCTGCCTTCCCGCATGGGCTGGCCCCAGCAACATTGTAGCTGATGAGGCGCCGTTGCTTCGCTGGGGGGTACCGGCAATCGCTTGTGCCACAGCACGCTTTCTCGCATCGAGAGGCGTTGCTGCAAGTGCCTCGTTGCTCGCAGCGCCACTCCCTGCTGCCGCTGCTCTGCCGCACGAGCTGGCCCCAGCAATTCTGTGGCTGATGAGGTGCTGTCGCCTCGCCAGGTGGCGTCGAGAACCGCTGCTGCCACTGCCTGCCCTCTCGCACCGACAGGCCCTGCTGCCGTTGCTTGCCGTCTCGCGCGAGTTGTAAGTCGGGCCTGTCCATCTACAGGGGGATAAGTCAAAAATAGTCAAGCAATAGTCTGGAGAGTATTTTTTTAGCAATGTTTAACAATTTTGGAGCATTTTTGGAGTACTTTTCATTTTTCGTCGAAAATTCCCCTGTAGGGGGACACGCCCGACTTAACGCGAGTTGACAGCCTCTGCCCGGGTGAAAAACTTCGAGCCCTGCCCCCAGCGCAACGACCAGGAGACATATCAGGATGATATGGCAGTTTGCGCTACGCGTGACAGCGGCGCGCCCTTCGACCCCAAATTTGGGCTCGGCAGGCCCATCTTCCATTTTATGTTTCAGTCGAGGGTTTCGCTTCTTCCTCGCATCGCGCGGGAAAGCTGAGATGCATCTAAGCTCGCCCCGGGAGGGCTGCTGGCATTTGCTCCTTCTCGGCCCCCAGAGCGCCAAAGAGGCCTCCAAGAGAGCCCAAGAGGCCCCCAAGACGGCCATGAAGTGCGTCGAGAAGGCCCCAAGTCCGCCCAGAGAGGCTCTCTGGACGACTTCCGACGGTCCGGGAGGGCCAGAAGACGGCCAAGGATGCTCCGGCGCGGAGCGAAGACGAGGGCCGAACCCGTGCTGCAGGGGGGCCCGTGTGGGAGCGCGGCGGTGGGGCCCCAGCCCTCAGATGGCGACGAGGACGGCGGGGGAGCAAGGGGGGCGTGTGCGAGGCAGGGGCTGCTCCAGACAATTTCTTCTGGACCGTTTCTTCCGAACGTCTTCTTCCGAACGCCCTCTTTGTCGTTGTCCTCCTAAGTATCCTTCCTCCTCCGTCTCTGCCGCGCCGATACCTCACGAGAAGAGGAAGAGTCTCTGTCTCGACGACTTCTTCCAGACGACTACTTCCGAACCATTTCATCCGAAGACGACTTCTTCCGCGAAGACTTCTTCCGAACCATGTCTTCTGGAGCATCCGGAAAATTATTCCGGAAGTCGTCGCGGAAGAAGTCGTCGTCTTCCCGCTCAGGGGGACGCATCGACCCCCAATCGTCCATTGATCGACGATAAGGGGGTTGATAGTCAAACCCGCCCTGGAAGTTGCGGTTTTGCTATCGGTGCTTACCTCCGATTCTTTGGCGATCTATCGCCGATTCTTGGTCGATGTTTCTACCCTTCGTTCTCGGGCCTTGTTTTTTTGTCTTTTTCGTATCGTTCTCTGCTGGTGATTCATTGTGCCCCCAGTCACGCAGCCGTTTTAATACCGCGTCCCGCCACGTCCGCTGCCTTACGCGTACCTCAAGGCCGCCACCAACCGAGGGAGCATTGCGTTGCGCTGTGGCGAACAAAAGTGGCGTACTCCTTGACCAAGTCGCATTTTGAGTGCCGGGGGTACTTCCTTTCTGGTGGCCGTGGGAGCGGAGCATCCGGCGGCGGCGCCGAAGAGGCGCATCCGAAAGGTGGAATATGTACACTCAACGCGGCAGTTGTCAAGGCACAGTTCGCAGCGCATGTTGGCCTCCTGAATGACAGGACCCGATGTTGTGCTGTGCAGCTGGCACGAGGGTAACAGCAGTTCTGGTTTTGCACTTGTGCCCTATCGTTTTCCATGCTTAGACTTGTCCTCCTCGGAATGTGACTCGTTGTGGGTATCTCCGTGGAGCCTCGGCCCCTATTCGAAGGGGCCCTGAAGAAGGAACCCTTTTCGTTGGGGAGGGGCTCCGTGTTCCTTAAGTGTTTCACAGCTTGCCTCAGGTTTCCCTTATGTTTTCGACACGAATCGAAGGTTAAATTATGGAGAAAAGGGGCCTCGTTCCTTATTTTGGGTTCCTTAGGTCCGCGCCCCGACGGGATGTTGTGCTGTGCAGCTGGCACGAGGGATAAGAGCAACTCTGGCTCTGCGCTGGTGCCCCACCGCTGCCCATTCACCATCTACCAAACCACCCCAACCCAACCCGAAGGCCTCCATTTGCCCTCCATTTCCAGTGGGGGGGGTCAGGGAACACAGAAAAAACACGTATGGAACCCATACCCCCCCCAACCCGAAATTTGGGTCTTCGGGTTGGGTTGGGGGGGTCTGGTAGGTAGTCACCCATGCTTAGGCCCGAGGCGAGCTGTGGTCCTGGCCGCGAGCTTGGACTCGGGAAGGCGCTGGATTGACACCAACCGGGGGGCCGCGCTGCGGGCTCCGAGGTCCTCGGGCCCCGCGGCTCGTTCGGGGTGGCACGTCCTCCTCCTCCTCCCCCTCCTCCTCCTCTTCTCCTCCTCCTCCTCCTCCTCCTCCTCCTCCTCCTCCTCCTCCTCCTCCTCCCCCTCCTTCTCCTCCTCCCCCTCCTCCTCCTCCTCCCCCTTGGGAGCCTCGTATGCCCTCGCAGTTTCCGCCTTGAGCGTCGATGAGCGTCTATTTGCGTCTGGGGTCGATGAGATGGCGCCGATCCCGCGCCGCATCTCGTTCGGTCCTCGGGCCCCGCACTTCGTTCGGTGGCACGCCATGGGAGCCTCGTATGCCCTCGCAATTTCCGCCTTGCGCGTCGATGAGCGTCGAGTTGCGTCTGGAGTCGATGAGATGGCGCCGATTTAGCGTCGGTTCAGCGTCGATAGACGTCGATTTGGCGTCGAGCAGGGTCCATTCGCGAGAGCCGACAGGATGGTGCGGGAGGCTCTCATGAGCTGCCACCGGAATCTCGCGGCGCTGCCCTGAGCAGACAGCAGGGCTGCTCAGTGCCCAGTTCGTTCCCGTCCGTTCCCCCAGCTGCGACTCCGCTCTTGATCCGAGCCGATCCGATCTGTCACGACGAACCTTTTCTGGGCGACGATATATATATATATATACACATATATATATATATATATATATGCCTCCGTCCCTGGTCCCCCCCTCGTCCGCGCACTGGGAGCCGGCGGTAAACCGTCAACCTGGGTTACCGCCGGGAACTCGTAGAGCTTCCTCGTGCAATATGGACGCCGCAATCTCGCATCGCGCGCGAGGAGGCAGTCTCATGGAGGAGGACGTGGAGCAGAAGAAGGAGCGAGGGAAAGGCATCTCTGGAAAAAATAATAAACATACCAGACCGAGTTCAGACGTCTGGCCACTTAAAGCTAGTGCGCCTGGCCCCCCCCTCGTCCGCGCACGTGCCTCGGGCCGTCCTCTGCGAACCCCCCCCCCTATGGGGCGCCCGCCCCTCGGACGCCCCCGAGAGCCTCGACGATCCGATCCCGCCCCCAAGCTCGCGACCCGATGCAGCTCGGGCCGGGGCGGCGAAGGACCTCGCCCTCCTCCTCCTCCCTCCTCCTCCTCCTCCTCCTCCTCCTCCTCCTCCTCCTCCTCCTCCTCCCCCTCCTCCCCGTCCTCCCCGTCCTCCTCCTCCTCCTCCTTCTCCTCCTCCCTCCTCCTCCTCCTCCCCCTCCTCCTCCTCCTCCCTCCTCCTCCTCCTCCTCCTCCTCCTCCTCCTCCTCCTCCTCCTCCTCCTCCCCCATCCTCGGGCCGGTGCGGCGAAGGACCTCGCCCTCCTGCTGCGGGGCCGGGCGCCCAGGGGGCATCACCTTCCAGCTGTCGGCACCTTCGACGCGCACGGCAGGAACAGCAGGAGGAGGAGGAATAGCAGGAGGAGGAGGAGGAGGAGGAGGAGGAGGAGGAGGAGGAGGAGGAGGAGGAGAGGGAGGAGAGGGAGGAGGAGGAGGTAGGGGGAGGAGAGGGAGGAGGGGGAGGGCGCACGCCGTAAGAGCTCGTGCTCGCCACCCTCCGCGGCGCACCGAGCGGGGTCAGCGAGAACGGGGCGGGCCTTCCCTGAAGGCGGCGGGGCTGCGGCAAAGGCCCAGAGCGCCCCTCGGAAGGCCGGAGGACCCTTTGAGGCTCCTGAGAATCAGAGGAGGAACAGGTCTCGTTTTCCCTTTTGGGGGCCGCCTGGGAGGCCCTCGTCGCCACCGCTGGATTCGCCTCGAAATCCTGGTCAGCACGCACCCCGGGAGAGGCCCGGGGAGTAGCGGTATCGGTACCTCAGGGAGTGGCTCCCCAGGGCAGGCCTTTCAGCAGGCGGCACGGCGTCTCAGAGCAGCCTCCCAGGTGAAGCCTCCCCGTGGCTTCGAGGAGGACGGAGAGGCCTCCCGAGCGGCAGGCCTCGCCGGGCCGGCGCTCGGCCCCTGGCCGCTCCGCCGCCCCCGCGGGGCGCCCAGGCCACCGTCACCCGGTGGTCGGGCCAGCGCGAGAAGCTGGCGCAGGACCCGGGCGCGGGCGTCGACCGCCCCGGCGCCTGCAGGCCCGATCGGGCAGGGGCGGGGGCTCCCACGGGGGCGCGAAGTGCTTCGCGCTTCGCGGTCCTCGTTCCTTGCTGCCCCTCCTCCTCGCCCTCCTTTCCTCCCTTTTGGGGGGGCGGCGCGAGGGCGCGAAGTTCTTCGCGCTTCGCGGGGCGCGAGGGCGCGAAGTTGGGAGCCCTAGCAGGGGGGGGGGTCCACGAGATCCTGGCGTCGCAGTCTGTTTCAGCCCGGCGCGTTCTCGGGGGCGGCAAAGAGGGGGGGGGATGACTAGGGGGGGATCTCATGGCGGGGGCCATGATATTTTCCCAGATTTCATGGCGCCTCTTCTTGTTTCAATACGTCCGTGGCCCCCCCGCTGGGCCGCGCACATGCCGCCGGTCATGATTTGCACCCCCCTTTTGGACACCCCCCTCTTGGCCGCTCCCGATATTCGCCTTTTGTGTCGGGCCCAAGGGCCCTCACAGATATCCGGCTTGAAGGATGGCGCAGAAATCGGGATCGTTTCGCCAATCCCCATCTCCATCCCCATCCCCTTCGAGACCCCCACCAAATTACCACCCCAGTTGGGGATACACCCCTCGAAACCCGAAGGGAACGACCTATATCACCATCTAGGGGGGTACATCGACCAGTGGGGCCCAGGCCACGCCGCTGGGGATGGGGATCGGTTAAACGATACTCAAGAAAGATGGGGTCCAGGGCTCTGGGCATGTTTTGTTACGATGTTGCAGTTTGTTCGCTTCGTCAGATCTCAGGGGTCCGCTGGGGTGCAGCTCCTGGGAGGTGAAATGCAGCATGGGCGCTGGTATCGGATGGCCTCCGGCGCCAGACCTTCTCCTCCAGTGCGGAGCCTCAGAGCGTCGGGGATCGGGGTCGCCGTACCCCCCCTTTGTTCTGGCAGGCCGACCCCACTCCGTGACGAGCCCCTCCTCCTCCTCATCCTCCTCCTGCTCCTCCTCCTCCTCCTCCTCCTCCTCCTCCTCCTCCTCCTCCTCCTCCTCCTCCCCCCAGCGCGGGCGGAATCGTTCGGAGGGACGTCTCGCGGGCAGGAGGCTCGTCGCGGAGTGGAGCGGTGAGGCCGCGCCCGAGGCGGGAGGTCAGGGGAGAGCAAATTGCACGGCCTTCGGCCCACCCCGCCGCCGTGCTTCCTCCTCCTCCTCCTCCTCCTCCTCCTCCTCCTCGTCCTCCTCCCCTTAATCGCAGAGTGGATTTCGTCTGCAAGGGTGGCGCGCCCACATCTCACCACCCACCAAACCACCCCAACCCAACCCGAAGGCCCAAATTTATCCTCGATTTCCAGTGGGGGGGGGTCGGGGAACATTGAAAAAACACATGGAACCCGTACCCCCCAACCTGAAATTCGGGTCAAATTCGGGTCTTCGGGTTGGGTTGGGGTGGTCTGGTAGGTAGTCAACATCGCAGAGTGGATTTCGTGTGCAAGGGTGGCGCGCCGATGCCTGGGCTGTGGGCACGAAGCCCAGTGGATGGTCGCGGGGATCTCGTGAGAGGCTTCTCGGGGGCCTCGTTGGACGTCTCTCGGGGGCCGTTGGTGGGCCTCGTTGGGCCTCTTGGGACCCTCCTGGGGCCTCTTGGGACTTCTTGGTGTCTCCTGGGCGCTTCGTTGGGCCTCCTGGAAGCCTCTTGGGGCGGAAGCCTTGGATTTTCGGTTCGCGTTCCCTCTTTTGGGCTCCTGTTTGGGCAGTCTTGGGGCTCTCTTGGGCCGTTTGGGGCGCCTCTTTGGCTGTCTTGGGGCCCTCTTGAGCGGCGATTTTTCGGCGAAGCGGGGCTTTCTACCTTTTTGGGCGTTCACAGCGTCCAGGGGACCCGCAGGAAGCACCCCAGAATTCACGGGAGCCAGCCCAGGAAACCCTTAGACGGCCCAGGACGACGGCCCAAGACGGCCTCGGAAACGGTTGGTCTGGTCCCTTAAAAAAGACTTCCAATTCTGGCTGCAGCAGAAGCATCGCATCCACTTCTTAGTGCTGCATGAGCCTTGGGGCACTCCTTCGTGCCAGAGGCACGGTGGCGGTTATGTTCCTGGTTGGGACACAGTTACACACGGGCGAGGCTTCTGCGGAGGAAGAGGATGGGTTGATTCAGCTTAATGTCTTGCTCCACGCAGATTCAACCAGACGCGCTCCACACGTTTTGTTGTTCAGCCCGCCAGTATTCCCAGTTGCATGTTGTGTTTGATGGATTCGTTAGCCTGGAGGGGGCGTAAGGAATCATCGCGCATGGGTGTGTGTAGCGGGATCTTGCGCAGATCCACAACATGTAATCCGCTTGGGTGGACGCCGATCTCATCATGAAGGCAATGCAGCGATTCAGGCTCCAATCGGCATCAGATTCAGTTGCCTGCGGCAAACCCAGTCACCGTGCCTGTGAATAGCGCATTCTTAACGCGTCCCGTAGCCCCTTATCTGCCTATCCTGGAACGATGTCCAGGGGAGCTAGCCATATTGGGGAGAGCGGCATCATTTGGAGAGCTCGGGGAGCTTCCGTGGGCCAGAGGCTTTTTGGATGCTTCGCGGATCTCGTGGGATGTCTCACGGGGTCTCTTGGAGGCCTCTTGGGGAGTCTTAGGGGCCTCCTGGCGGCTCTTGGGGGCCTCTTCGGGCTCCTCGGCGAGACCTCTTGGAGACCTCTTGGGACGTCTTGCCTCTGGGCTGTCTTCAGAGCCTCTTGGGACGTCCTGGGGGTCTCTCGGTTTCTCTTGGGGGCCGATTTGGAGATGTCTTAGAGGCCTATTGGGGGCCTCTTTGGCCGACTTGGGGCCCTCTTGGGCTATCTTGCAGCTATAGTTGAGGCCTCTTGGGCCATCTTGGGCGGCAGCAGACCCAAACAGGCGACACGGTGACAACCTCCAAATCGTTCAACAAGCTATGGAAAAACAATTGCTTGTGCCTCCTCGGGCACTTCACGGGGGCCTCATGCAACCCTCTTGGGCCATCTTGGAGGTCTCTTGGGCTGTCTTCAGGCCGTCTTGGGAGTCTTGGGCCGTCTTGGCGTCACGTGGCTGTCTTGGAAGCCGTCTTGGAAGCCATCTTGTCCGCCTGGAGGCCAAAATGGGTGCCCTAGAGCATATGCAGGGGGGGGGGGGGGTCTGACGGGTGCGTGCGCAAACGTACAGGGAGGGGGGCCGTCCCCATAGAACACCAAACACATTCACAAGACAACAGAAGAGCATTGTCACAAACCCATTCCGTGCAGGCACGGTGGCAGATTTCTGAGCTAGGCTTTGACCATCATGACGGGCAGGAATACGACGAAGGAGTCGGAGGAGGAGGAGGAAGAGGAGGAGGAGAGGGGAGATGGATACGGGAGAAAGGAAGGGAGGGGACAGTTCGAGGAGGTCGAGGGACATTAAGAAGATATCGAAGTGGGACAGCGGGCAGCAAGACGACGCTGGTTGATGTACACGGCGCTTCTTGTCGGTCGACGTCCCGTGATTTGGTAACACACGTACATACACATTTATCTGAGTGAGGGTGCCGAACGGGCATTCATTGTCTCTGGGCTCGTGGCTTAAGTGGGATTCCGCAGTGCGGAATGTAGTTGCGCTGTTGTTGTCGTCGTCCTCGCCCGCGACCCGCCTGCGACCCACCGCGCGACCCACCCCGCGACCCTCCCGCGACCCAGCCACATTGCTTTGACGAAGATTCGGCGCCTGGGGCGGGCTCGTTGTGCGATGGTTCAAAAAAGATCGGCGCCTGCGGTCGGCTTCTTCATACCTCATAGGCGGCTGACGACCCCGACGCCCCCTCGCTCATATCTCGGAAACTGGGCGAGGGCTGCTAAAACCGTGGCTGCTAAAACGGCCCTCCCGGAAGGAAAAAACAACTTCCCGGAATTAGGCGCGGCACGGGAAACAGTCAACGGGCTTCTTCCCGGAAGGACGGAGACAACTTCCCGGAGGTCGATTTTAGCAGCCACGGGTTTAGCAGCCCTTGCCCGGCTCCCGAATATCCGCAACCAGGGGGTGCTACGTAGCATCTGGACATGGCCGTCTCTCCGAATGGCTCCTCCAGTGGTGGGCGTGCGTACCTCGGCGCACATCGTATGGCGGCCCACCACGGCACTCGGGGAGCGGAGGAGGAGGGGGCAGGAAAGGGAGGAGGGGGAGGGGACGGAGGAGGAGAGGAGTTAGGAGGAGGAGGAGTTGGGAGGATCGAGGAGGAGGATGATAGAGGAAGAGAAGGAGGGAGGAGGAGGAGGAGGAGGAGGAGGAGGAGGAGGAGGAGGAGGAGGAGGAGGAGGAGGAGGAGGAGGGGGAGGGGGGGGAGGAGTTAGGAGGATGATCGGAGGAGGGCCAGTAGAGACAACGGCGGCCCTGCCTGTAGTGTTCCGTTGTTTTGGGGTCTCTTGGAGGCGTCTCGTCGCCACGGCTGGATCCACGTCAAACAACCGGTCAGGATGGACCCTGGGCGGACTTGTGGGACCCAGGCTGGAGGGACGAATTGTGAGCAGACTTGGGCGGGACAGGATAGTCACCGTTGTTTCAATGGGCCCTCTTCCGAGAAGAGCGGCATCAGCAGCAGGAGGAGTTCAAGGAAGAGACGGAGCAGGCAGCGTGGAGGAGCAAGAGGAGCAGCAGGTTCGTGAGTGGCATTGTATGTCTTCGCAGGCCAGAAAGAAGTATGCCTGTCGCGCACGTGAAGGAGGAGTGCGTCATCTGCATGGATGCAAAGCCAAATGGCGTGATCGTTCATGGATGCGAGGGGGTGTAATTGTGGGATTGGGTCAGCCGATGGGGACAGCCAAGGAGTATTGGTTCTCTCTTATGGTCGGTGTGGTGGGACTTTGTGTGCTCGTTGCCATAATCGTTCTGCAGTAAGTTGTAAATTCGTCGCGTTCGAGCCCATCAAGGGTACAACTGGCCGCTCCAAAGCATCGCACAACTACATGGCGCAAGGAGATTTGGACAGATTGCCAACCATCAGCTCGAAATTGGTTATGGCCCTGATTGGAACTCAGTGATGTGTTTGCAGTCGCGTTTGATTGTTGTTGCTTTACCATGCAATCCTGCTACAGTATCTAGGGCCGACTTTCGCTTCACGCCATTGATGCTTTGTCAGTCGTTCTCTTTCACCTTCTTCCCAGTTCTGACGTAGCATTGTGTCGTTACGGTCGGCAGTCCCTCTTGTCATTTCATCGGTGGCTCTTGGTGCGCAGGGGGATGGAGTCCACGCAGGAGGATCGAGGTGATTTAGGGGGGGAGAACGGAAAGGCGTCGACGCTTAAAGGCTTCGGCACCATACTTTCCAGCCCCGATGCCAGCTGTTCCCGAGCGGGGCGCGAGCACATTGAGGGCCCGAGCAGCGGTGCCCGAGCGATGCGCCCGCGATCGATGTGGGGCCCGGTTTTCTCCATGCCGACGTCGCCGATGAATCGCCGACGTCAACAGGAGGATCTCTTAAAACGACGCGAAGATCGGGACAAAATCGGATCGGGATAACTCGAAATCTCTGAGAACCGGCGGGTTTGGAGGATGTATTGGGCGCCGCGGCCGCTCCCGAGCGTTCCGGAACGCTCTGAGAGCGCTCCGGAACGCTCTGGAGCGATTTATCCCGATCCTAGCCCTGTTTTATCTCTCTCATCGGCTTCCCGACCGACATTTTGCAGGATCGCATTGCCTCGACCGAGAACTTCGTTCGGGCACCGCACAACGAGCCGCCTCACTCGATTGGACATTTCTGCACTGGTCCACGGAATTCTCGTCATGTCGGTGTGTCGGCGATGTATCGCCGATGCGGCGCGATCCCCCGACTCCAGCTGCTCGGGTCCCCGTGTGAGCGACGGAGGCAAGCGGGGTCGACTGCGCGGACGTTCGCGTGCAAGCTGCTCGCGTGGGATGGCCCTCCTCCTCCTCCTCCTCCTCCTCCTCCTCCTCCTCCTCCTCCACAGCAGCGTGCCGCGCCGGCCGCCCGCGTGATGCAGCCACCGCGTAACACCGCTGTGCCACAGTGCGTAGAGACAGGTAGATCGCCGAACGCAGGACCACTCCGGGCTCGGAAGGAGCTCGGTTCTTCGGGCCGTGCCTTAGAGCTGCCAGTTCGAAGCCGAGACTCGCCGTGGCCAGAAAAGCCCATTCGCTCCTTACTCGGGGATCTTCGCGGTAGCACGACGACTGCGCCACCTCCTTTTCGTCGCCCATTTGGGAAGAGGGCGCAGGAGGAGGAAGTGGAGGAGGAGGAAGTGGAGGAGGAGGAGGACTCTATCCTGGCGGGCCGCCGGGGGCGCCGCGCGCTCCCGAGGCCGGCTCGCGGAGCCTCGATGGGCACGGAGGCCTCTGCGTGCAGCTGGTGTCGACCCCTCCCCTGCCCAGGTCCCTACGCTGAGAGAAGGACCGGCTGTGGGCCCCGGAGTGGCTTCGACCTGCTGTCCTGGGGCCTGTCCCTTTCGTTCCTCGTCGAGCGCGTTCCT